AAAATGAGGACCTAATGTCGGGGGTTTAAATGGAGAGAAAATGTTTTGAGAAACGATGTACAAATGCGGTTTACACAATTGATGTGTGTATGGATTGGGATAACAGTTGTATGAGCCCCTAATAAAATGTTTTAAAAAAAACAAAACAAAAAACTATTGGTCTGTTTTCATATGGCGGGAAAGAGAACCATAAAAAGGGAAAGACTACATGGAACGAATGAGTTCACTGGCTTAGGGGACCAGGAAGCATCAATGTTCCCAACCTTGAGACCAGAAGAACTAGTTGATGCCCTGCTACCACTACCAGCTGCTCTAAAAGGCACATTAGAAGGAACAGGAGAAAAGTGTGAAACAAAACTAAAAATCATTAAAAAGATTAATTGAGAGGTAAAAACCAGTTCTAATCACCAGTTGAGAACCATGGAACTAAGTTCACCTTTGTGGCTCAAGTTTCAGCCAAACAATAGACAGGCCTCCCTTATCTCAAGAAGAATAATCAACCATTTAGGATCAAGAGGGCAGCGTTGACTCCAGGACAAAGTTCCGAACCACGCGGCAAGAAGGAGGAATGAAACCCGGGAGGAAGCGGGATCAGGCCTGGCATGCAGCATATTCGGGGACTGCAATGAACGAGAGGTGTTTGAGGTGTTGAAAGTAAGGTCTGCTCCATCAATCTGCACCCAGTTCACAATAAAAAGTAAATAAATAGAAAAATAACAAAGAGCCAGGGCCACCAAAGTGGTAGGGATGATGATACAAAGGCAGCCTCACTTCGCTGTGAAATGGGAAATCTGCCTTCCATTTCTACTCTTGGCTTGCCAAACGCGCTCTAAAGGTAGCCGAGGAGCATGAAGATATTACTATACAACTAAATGTGTCCCCCACACCAGTGAATATAATCCCATTTGGGAACAAGGCTTTCGTTATTTGGTTAATGAAACCATATCCATGTAAGATGTGCCTTTAATTAATGACTTTTGAGAGAAGGAAAGCGCAGATTTGGCCCAGAAAGGGAAACACAAATGGAGAAGTGACATGGTACGCGAAGCTCACCAAGAACCTGGGGAACAGAAGTCAAAAAGGGCCAAGGACTTCCTCTCAGAACCGACAGAGAGCACTTTCCCTTAGTGCTGGCGCCCTGAACTTGGACTTTGGTGTCCTAAATTGTGATCAAATAAATTCCTCTTTGTTTTAAAAAGAAGAAAGGCCTAGATTTCTAAATTACATGGAAGGCAGAACCTGCAGGAGATGAGCAGTGAAGAAGGGGTAGCTTAGGAAGAGCCCATGGCCAGACATGGATGGAGCAGTCTAGTGGCTTTTGTCACTGGGAGGGTCAAGGAGTGCTCACAGTGAGGGGCGGGAAGCCAGGGACCTATCCTTAAGCCACGATAAGAAGGCATTTCAAGTCAGAAGGAAGGGTTGTCATTCAAATGCGACGGATACATCAGTCAGAGACTGTCTGTTGGACTGCTGGTGAGTCCGGGGGGTATCATTGATTAAGTAATAGGCTGCCAACCCAGGTGTTTAAAACCCACCCAGGGACTCCTCAGAGAAAATGCCTGGAGATGTGCTTCTGTAAGGGCACAGCCTGAAGACCCCACGGAGTGGTTCGACTCTGCACACATGGGGTCACCATGAGTCAGAATTGACTGGAAGGCCAATAGCAAGCACCCTGGACTGTTGGGGGTGGGGGGTGAGGGCTGGATCAAAGGGAAGGAAATCGAGACAGCAGTTGTCATCTGCTTTTCCAAGAAGTGTGACTGTGAATCAGAAGAAGGAAGAAACTGGGAGAGATGCTATTTGTGTTTTCGGGCTTGGACGAGCAACACTTAAGATGGAAGAATCCTCATCGTGTTTAAACCGTGGTAGGACGGAGGACAGGGAAGCTTGAAGATCAGGTTGCAAGGGAAGGCGGGAGGGAGTCCTGCAATCATGAGTGTCTACAATACATGGAAGCAAGGTGAGAGAAGGAGAATAGAAGCGGGGGATTTGAATCCTGATGGGAAGACACAGAGTTTTCCGAATGGGTTGGGTTTCGTTTTCTCTGTGAGGAGGTGGTGAGAGCTGTGAGATCTCCCCAAGGTAACAGTTTATTCTTCCTATGAAGGGTATCCCTCACCCCAACCCTGCCCCCGCCCAAAAAAAACACCCATCATTGCCATCAAGTCATTGTCGACTCATAGTGACCCTACAGGACAGGGTTGAACTGCCCCTGTGAGCTGCCAAGCCTGCAACTCTTCCTGGGAGGAAAAAGCCCTGTCTTTCTACCACTGAGCAGCTGGTGGTTTCAAACGGCTGACTCTGCAGCTAACAGCCCAATGCCCCAATGCGTAACCTTCCCAAGACACCACCACGCCTTACATATTGGCTCTTAATCACAATGAAACTGAAGGTTCAGGGTCAAAGGATAGAGAGAAAGGTCAAAGAGCGTTACGTGCATTGTGATTGCTGTTCGTTGCCAGGAAGACAGTGCTGACTCGTGAGGTCTCATGGGTAATAAAATGGCACAGGCCTGGTCCTGCCCCATCCTCAGGCTTGTTGGTCTCGTTGAGCCCAGTGTCCAGGCTGTTTTGCCCAGACATTGCAGTGAGAGTTTCCCGCCTTTCACGGGCTCTCTTCTTGACCAAACATGATGTCCTTTGCCGGCGACTGGAAGTTCCTCACGGCATTGTCCGAAGGAAGCAAAGAGAGGTTTTGCCATTCTCCCTAGACTTTTATTCCAGATCTATAACAATGCGAAACAATGTTCTCTCCTGCTTCTGGCTTTCTGTGTGCGGGTGGCACTTATCACCTAGTCCAGACCACTCTGGTCCCCAGTATGGCAAGCACAGCTGGGAGGACTCAGAGTACCAATCACAGTCTTCAGCCAAGCCTTTTTCCCTCCAGTGCATGGGCTCCCTTTCCCAATAAGCAAAACAAAACAGGAACTCAAACTCACTGCTGAGCCTCTAGGACAGAGTAGAACTGCCCTCTGTGAGTTTCTGAGACTGTAACTCTTTATGTGAGTAGAGAGCCTCATCTTCTCCCTGAAGAGTGGCTGGCGGCTTCAAACTGCTGACCTTGTTGTAGACAGCCCCATGGTAACCCAATATGCCGTCAGGGATCCACAGCTAAAATCAGTATCCCCTTCTCCCCAGAGTTCGGAGGTCCACAGGTGGGCAAACAACTTCTCTATTGTCTCATCAGACTGTTTCACAAGGAATAAAATGAGAGGGAGGATGCAACCCTTTATGTTTAACACAAGGTTTAGGTGGCCATATTTGGATTCCTGTGGTAGTTACATAATCTGGTGTCAATTTGGGACTTGAGAGGATTAAGAGTGAAGGGGTAGAGCTTAGTGTGTCAACCGGGTCATAGCCAATGAGGCCTCTGTGTGGGCATGGCCTTTCCCTGAAGATTCTGGAACAACTCCAGGATTTCCTCCTTGGAAGCAGAAGGCACTGTCTCTATTCACTCCCTAGGAGACTCTCTCCTGACAAGGCTGACTCCCTGTGAAACGTCCCTGAGGAGAAGCTGCCACATGGACTTACTCTGATGCAGCCCTGGGTGCTGGTGCAGCCACGTGGAAACCCCTGTCAATGCTGAGATGCTTACACTGCCACTGAGTCCAAAGACTTTCTACCCACTGGCCTGTGATCCTCCTGCATTCGGCGTCATTGCATGTGTTTTGTGGATCTGAAGAGGACTTTATAGATCTGTATTGGACATATGGGCTAATATTGGACTTTGGGCTTGGACTGGACTGGGTTGGGATGCTTTTTTGATACACAATTACCCTTTATATAATACTCTTCTAAACACCTATGAGTTTCTATGGATTTATTTATTTCGTTTACCCCGCCTAACACAATTTCTTTCAAGGATTCGTTTAACTTTCAATCGTGTATTTTGTCACCAAGTTCTAGTCATCCCTCCTGAGCTCAGGGAAATAGGGCCAAGAAGGGGACAGGATGGCAGGATCAGGAAAGCCAAGGAAAGAAAGTTCTAAAAGGAGCAAATAGTCAAATATCAGAACTTCTGTGGTATTCTGCCTCCTCTCTTTTCTCTTGACTCTATTTATTGATTGATTCCCTCTGTCTCCCTCCATGCTTAGCCCCTCTGAATTCTCAATCCTCTATGATCATCGAACCCAGGTCTCCCCTGGGGTTCTGAGAGGCAGAGGCGGTCCCCCCACGAAGCCTCCTCCCGCATCTGGGAGCAGCCATGTTCCCCATGACGATTCCTTGGTTCTCCTTCCCTCCATAGCCAGTTGGCCTGGCACACAACCCATGTCTGCATGTGTGCGCTCAGCTCCCTGCCCCTACTTTGTCTGACTTCTCCTTTGGACTTCTCCACAAACTTCTCTTCTGTGGCACTGGCTCCCATCTCTCTGGGTCCATTGGGGACGGGAGTGTTAGTGTCCATTGGGACGGGACTGCTTTCCAGTCACAAGTTATGGGCACCTGAAGGTGGGAGTCGCTGCATGGTAGACACACCCCGAATTCTAGTCGTTTTCAGAAGTATCATCTTTTTCAAACCTCTGCAGAGAAAGTCTATATACCCCCTCACTCTGGCAGGACAGTAATCCCTGTGGTACATTCCGTCTCACTAAAAGCACAGTTAGCTTTGGGCCAAGGGAAGTTTCTGCTGAAAAGCCCACAGTACACTTGATCTTTCTAAGTTGGTGTGAGGTGAAAAATAAAGCAGAGTCAAGATTCTGCCTAATCACCCAGAGGGTAACCACTGAATCGGACACACATACATGTATCTCAAGACAAACATTAAGCCTCAAAGGGAATATCGTCTAGAGCTCTATTGAGGCAGGAAACATTTTAATTTGCCAATGTACCATACTATGACACCCATGATATATTGTTAAATATCTAACAATCAGCTCTCCAAGAAAATTTTTTTTGCATACTTGTGTATATGTTTATTATCAATCTTACTGATAGAAAATAGGTACAGCATACAGTTTACAAGAAGAAGAAAAGTAGAATACTCTTCACTGTAAATTCTAAATAGACAATCAACTCTCCCAGAATACTTTAAAGTCGTTTTGCCAAATTCTTGTTTTCGGTAACCATCCTAGATCACAGTGGATGAACGAGTGTAGTGTCACCCTAAATGATGGCCAATACTTATGCTTCTGTTTACCTGTAAGATGAAAAAGAAGCAATAAAGTCAGAACTTCTCTGATTAGTCCCCTGACAAGACTCCAGCTTTGCTGAATTAGATGATAGTTTTTGAATACTGTAAGAATATTTCTTAATTCGTTTATGTTAGTTACAATATAATGGCTATAATATCATGCATTTTAAAGTTAATCTGACTAATATATTCTTCATCACTCTTTTAAAGTCTAAACAAACAAACAAAACAAGTCAAATCAACAAAGCCAAATTCATTGCCATCGAGTCTGTTCTGAGCAGAACTGCCTCTGTGGGTTTCTGAGACTGCCTCTTGAGGGGAGTGGAAAGCCTCTACTTTCTCCCACAGAGTGGTGGTTTTAACGACTGACCTTGGGGTTAGCAGCCTGCTGCATAACTAGGCTGCCACCGCAGCTTCCTGCTTTGCTTACAATCGGTGGGAATTAAAGAAGGTGACATTCTAGGAGAATGACGACCAAAAGACTTCAAAATATAGTGGCTCACATACGTTGAAATTATTTGGTTTGCAACAGAAACATTTTGTAAACTGGTCTACAGCATTACAGCACGATTCTTCTTAACTTGCGAAGCAAAATGTAGATCTGGTACAATTCTAAATGAAAGGACAAGAGGCATTTTTGCCTCCAGGGGGCACTGCGGTTTTCACAAAGGAAAAGAAAGAAAAAAAGACTTCTGTGTTGCTTTCACTGTGGAGTTCCCAGCGGACTTTTGCTTTAGTTATTGTCACACTTGCTTTTATCATCAAGCCAAGCCTTCACCACCTAGGGGTAGACAGTGGAGGGGGAGTGTCAGCCATTTAACACAAAGAGCAGATAGCCCCAAATCCCTCATCTCTTCTACACTGAAGCCCTCTCTCCTCTTCAGGGGTGATGTCATCCATCCCCACAGCGTTAACGCTCCAACTTCAGACATGACTCCTATCGCTGTAGCTCTAGGCCAGGGCTCTCTCGTCTAAGCCTCACATTTCAACACCCCCCGGATGTCACACAGACTCCTCAAACCTAGCTTATCTAAAAAGCAACTCCAATGTCCTCTTGTTGTAACACACACACACACACACACACACACTATAGATAGATAGATAGATAGATAGATAGATAGATAGATAGATAGATAGATAGATAGATATACACATAGAGAAGCACAACCAGGATGCTCCTTAGAGGCAAAGATGGTGAGACTGTCATAATACCTTGCAGACCAGGCCCTGGAGAAAACCAGCATGCTCGGTCGGT